ACGTTAGGAGTAACACAGAGAAACTAGAGACACAACACAGCAGAACGGATTGTAAACACAAACTCTATTGTCTAAGGGTTGTCAAATACTATAATTCGTTGCCGGCTGATTTAGTCCAAGCGACTTCCTAGGAGTTCTTTAAGAGAAAAGTTGACATATTCTTAAGGACTAAGTATAGTATCTTACTATGATTTACCAGTTAAAATATCATATAGCATTTTCCCTAAATCAACCATTATATGGTTGCTACCTTATATATACTTCATGCACGATATACATTGATTCGAATTTTATTAGATCTGTTGGGATGAGCTGAATAGTTTTGTAAACTAACAACAAACAGGAGAGTTTCTAGTTAAGAATTAACTAGACGGTAAGAACATGTGTTACGTATGCCCAACCACCGACTGCCACGACCGGCGATGTTCTATGGTGTAGAAATAGGTTGGAAGAAAGCTAGGGTCGGCCAGACCAAAATATGGCACAAATTCAATAAGTCAATGACAAGTGGAATGAACCATGTTAGTAGGTGTAGACTACCTGGTTCCGGGAATCCGCTAGACGATAACAACCGATGGTTAGAGACCTTGAATGATATGGCTCAAAATCGTTTGCCATGGTTCATGTCCATCCACTCTTTGTGTTCTCTCAAATTCTAATCTTCTGAATTATTCATGTCCCCATTTTTCTTCTCTTTCCAAATTTATTTCACTGAATTATACTCCTTGAATAACATCTTCAAACCCTAATCTTTCCGATTACTGCTTATACATTTACTAACTCTACTACTATGGGATTTGAATAGACAATTGTATCACTGTGCTAATGTGGTATACCAACTTGAACTGATGTAATTCAAGTGACGCACAATGTTCGTAGAATCCACTCAAAATGCCGATAGAGTTACTAGCAGCCAGAAGATTCGGTAAAGGCGAGGGTGGAGAGTAGGTTAACTACCTCATCTCATAAAAAAAGACATAGACAATAAATGCTAGTGAGTCTTGCAGGATCCAATCAAATGTATCAAAACTTTATTGTCTAAAAATATCCAAGGCATCTGAAACTCTAGCTATCCCTGACATTAAACCCAAACTGGAGTGGTAAAGTATTAGTTCTTATACTATTCGTTATCGTGACAACAAACTATTATTATTGTTGATGTCATTGTTATTATCGTAACTATTTCAGTTCATCGATTTTGAAAATGTTCCCTTTCGTTTTATTTATTTGTAATACAGCCTTTATTTAACTTATAACCGTTTCTTATGTAATTCGCTTAAATCCAACCAACAGTATTAATTATCAAGACGAAAATATTTCAGTTGTGGTGTGTACTACTGATATCAACAGATAGAGATATTATGTATCATCAATCGAAAGTGGAATATCTGGTACCAAAAGGTTGATGAAATAGAAAAAACAGAACAAGACACAGAGAGTAATTGTTATGGAAATGAAGGGACAAAAAAGTCTGAGACAATTGTTGGGTATTGTGCAATTAAAGCATTTATTGTATGGTTCTCAGACTTTAATAAGATGTTCTGAATTGTTGTACTAAATTACATTTTGTTGTCCCAGCCTGTATTCTCTTTCACTATATATTTTTATATTAGTTTAAAGTATGTAATATGTGATAGCCTCAGCAGCAGTAGGTCTCAATATACACAAAGGGAAAAGCAAGATTCTTCGATACAACACAGCATGCACCAATCCAATCACAATTGACGGAGAAGATTTGGAAGATGTAAAAACCTTTACGTATTTGGGCAGCATCATTGATGAACATGGTGGATCTGATGCAGATGTGAAAGCGCGGATCGGTAAAGCAAGAGCAGCATATTTACAACTGAGGAACATCTGGAACTCAAAGCAACTGTCAACCAACACCAAGATCAGGATTTTCAATACAAATGTCAAGACAGTCCTACTGTATGGGGCAGAAACCTGGAGAACTACGAAAGCCATCATCCACAAGATACAAGGGTTTAGTAACTGTTGTCTACGCAAAATACTTCGGATCCATTAGCCAGACACTATTAGCAACAACGTACTGTGGGAGAGAACAAACCACATTTCAGCGGAGGAAGAAATCAGGAAGAAGCGCTGGAAGTGGATAGGACACACATTGAGGAAAGCACCCAACTGCGTCACAAGACAAGCCCTCACATGGAATCCTCAAGTTCAAAGGAAAAGAGGAAGACAAAAGAACACATTACGCCGAGAAATGGAGATAGACATGAGAAAAATGAACAAGAATTGGATGGAACTAGAAAAGAAGGCGGAGGACAGAGTGGGTTGGAGAATGCTGGTCAGCGGCCTATGCTCCATTGGGAGTAAAAGGCGTAAGTAAGTAAGTAATGTAATATGTGATACTTATATCGACATAAATAGTATATAACTCTAGTCAAGAATATAATGTCTGGCAGCAGAAAGTCAAGAAGATCAAGGAGGAAAGAACGGGCAAACAAGGCAGTTGCTATCGAAATGCAGGAACAATGAATTATGAAACCTTTGATTGATATTTGCAGAAGGAACAACCAACTCTGAAACAATTGATTGACATTTTGCAAATGAAGTAAGTACTGTATGATCCTCAGATTTTACTAAGATGTACTGTAATTTTGGGTTCGAATATATTCCATTATCCCCACTTGTGTTCTCAATAATAACAAGTACAGTTAAAATATCATATAGCATTTTCCCTATATCAACCATTATATGGTTGTTAGCTTACATATACTTCATGAACGACATACATTGATTTGAATTTTATTAGATCTGTTGGAATGACCTGAATAGTTTTGAAAACTAATAACAAACAGTTAAGACTTAACTAGATGTCTAGAACGTGTGTTACGTATGCCCACCCACCGACTGCCACGACCGGCGATGGGATTTGAATCGACAATTGTATCACTGTGCTAATGTGGTATACCAACTTGAACTGATGTACGTACGTACGGAGTTCTACCCTGTGACTTATTGACTCACTGAGTTAAGGCTCATGTATTTTAATATACAACTATTGTAAACTTTAGCGAACTTACCTAATGGAATATTTAAACGATGATCACAGTAGGTCATAAAACGTTCTTTGAAGAATGTCTCCATTGGCTGTATTAAAAGAAGGATCATTGTAAACCAAATAAATGACTGTGCAAAATTACTAAGTGGATTGTTTACTCAAAACTAATCGAAAATAACATTTAGAGTACACGAAGATCATCTATGCGGAATATATATCATATTTCATAAGAACATGGGAAGGAAGGCTCAGGAGAGAGTGAGTTAGAGAATGCTGGTCGGCTCAATTGGGAGAAACATCCGTAAGTAAGTAATTAAGTAAGTTCATAAGAACAATTGTTCATGAGGTAAATCATGAATTATCTATTGATATCAATAGAGAAACAAGAAGCTATGATAAACTATGGAAGCTATTTTTGGGCACGTTATTTCATTTCATTCAAATCTTGTAAAACGGTAACATTTATTTTTATCACTAGTCTATTCTACACATCACAAGCTTTCGTTCGATGTATGACTCAATGCCATAGCCTCCTCAGTTCCAAAGCTAATGTAATTTAAACATAATATTTTGTACTCTACTTTCTACTCTAATCTCCAGTTTTGAACATAATTGTAGTTTCCTAATTATTGTAGGTTGTGGTCAGGTTAGTCATCTATCTTTTACACTAATGTATGAATCGGGATCCAGATCGGAATTGGGAATAAATCGAGTAGTGTTCCAGTTGACTAGTCTTTTTCTCTCTCTCTCTTTCTCTCTCGTGCTTGTCAGCCAATCAGGTGATAGGATAGTTCACGTCGCTCTCCACCCCAAGCAGTTAGTCTCACTTCGAACTCACGCATACTAGCATCGTAATGATTTTAATGTCTCGTGATGACTATTCCAAGTCTATTTATCCACGTTTGTTTGACGTTCTATTTCCAACGTTTAACGATTGATACGACTACTAGCAGTACACCAGCCTTCCTACTATCAACATGTATTTCTTACCTCTTATGTGTGGTGACTTATTCTATTTCACTGTGATTATTGACCCATATTGCCTCGATTGGTTTAACATTTTCGTATAAATATTGATGTATATTAGAGTAAAGCCTGATGACGATCTAATTGAAAACAATTTCCTTAATACCTTCTTGTTTAATCATTTATTTGTCTACTTATTTATTTGTACACATAAATATTGGTAAAAAGGGGGCACTGAATAAATATGCGCCACAAAAGTCACTTGATTTGTTAGTGGGCTGTGGTACTGCCCGGTTGTCCAGACCGAAACAGGTTGTTTTTCTTAGTGTGCCACACCCTTCGTTGAAATATGGATGTCGAGTTAGTGATAAGTTATGATTAGATAGGTGATTTGTGAAGATTGTAGTAACTTGAATAGTTAAACTCAAGATTCATTAGTTATTAGGTGAACACTCTGAAGGTCAGTTTAGCATCACTCAGAGGTTGTTCATCAATTGTAATCTCATCTAAATTTGCTTTGTCGGATGTTGACTGGAAATTGAGCTAATTTAACTGTTTGAACAAATCAGTGGTAAGAATTGTTAAGTTGATACATCTAATGTCATATTACCACAAAACACATTTGCGAAATGATTCAAAATACACAATAAATTATCAGTATAGTGTTGTGGAAACCAATAAGTTTTTGATCGAGATCATAAACCGATTGATGTTAGATCACCATTGAAAACCTGAAAGCGTTGGACGGCTGTTTCGTCCTATTGTGGGACTCCAGAGCAGTGCGCATTCACGATCTCGTTCTCGCGCACAAATGCTTAACCTGTAGACTACTAAGCTGGACGGCATCCAACGGTGTTAATGTCTAACGTCAAACAATCCACGAAATTGTGTGACCGTCTTCCATTGTAATGAGGTAGATACCTGTCTCTACCTGACACGGATTAGCTCCACAATAAATATACTCAAGATTCTCGATTGAAACATTTACGATACATTTAATTGTATTAATTTACCCTGAATCTGTGAAGAATGCCAACGTTAATGCTGAAAGTACACTTTTCACTCCTGTCTCACCAGCCATTGTTTCATCCTGTAATAAACATAAACAAAGTGAACAGAATTAATCATTCGAATTACATCACCAGATCGTGCTTGTTTCTAAGTTCCCGTACATTTTAAATATTCATTCAAACAACTTGACTTCCCAACAAACAGCCAAATTTAATCATCATATCATGTTGTTTACTTAATAATTAGAGAGTCTTTGGTATAGATCGAATTCCATGAATTAGTTCACGATGTAATCCTTAATCTAAATAACCTGACATCTCATGTTTTATGTTTCGATAATTGACGATTGAGAGCATTCGACAAGAAGATCTAGACTTAAGTTTCATGCTAATTGACATTTTTCAGTAAGGTGTAACACCACCTCAGATCCCAGAAAGATAAAACTTTAATTCGAATTATGTATGTCATTCCATCTTACAAGTACCGACTATCATGAAACATAAATCTTGGATTGTTATCGAGTCTTTTTGTTCATATTACTACAGGTATCTACCTCATTATCATAGAAGGTGGTCGCGCAATTTCCTGAATTGGTTGAGGTTAAACATTAACACCATTGGATGCTGACTAAGTTATCTAGAGATTAAGCCATGCGTTTGAATCCCGCTTACGGGATCGTGAATGCCCATTGCTGAGCAGTCCTATTGTCTTATTCTCAGTTTAGTTTATATGACAAGGGTGTTACAAGAAAGTGTACGATTTATTCAAAGATTTAATTCTAAACAATCTATGGATAAAACTTTATTAGTTTTATATCAAAATTGTAAAACATAATGCTGTATATGTACTCATCAGTCATTAGGTACTTACATCTCGATTACAAATACATCATTGTTATGACATTAACTTCATTATCTGATTTAGGTTACATAAAAATGATTGAAATCTTATTCTGATACCTACTAATTGAAATATTTTTGACTAAAACATACCGAGGCATATTCATCTGGAATTGGATGGTCGTAGCATGTAGCTTTTGGTTTACATTGTGATTTACAAAATATTTTACCCGTTGTTAAATCTCGGAAGAATGATTGTTCAACACATCCTCTGAAAGAATAATATCAAATATACAATAGTTAAAAATCAATCAACATACTGAAATGGTTTATGGTGAGATGAGAAGAAATGAGAAGAAAAACTCCATAGTAATCTTGTGGATATCATTCCAAACTGATACGGAATATGGGAATTAGATTCTTGTTTGAAGTATTGATTATCATACAGTTCATTAAAATTAAATATGAACGAGGCATTTTGTATGAATAAATTGATAATCACTATTTCATAGTAATAAGATCGTCTTAAATTATAGAAAACAATTGTGAAATTCCTCAAAATATCAATATAAGAAGGGGTTTTTGTGGACGTCCATTTAGTCGTATTGTGGGACTCTTTAACAGTGCGCATCCACGATCCCGCCTTGCAAAATTCGAACACACTACCTTCCAGTGCTTCTAGGTTTTCTATGGTGGTCTAGCTTCAATTGCCTCATGATCTGAACGATTAAAATTGCAAAATGTGTCCTTAAACACCTAGAATTGTACTCATAATTATATACTAACCTTTCTGCAAGCAGCTTTCTGTTTGGTGGTCTTCTTACACTCAATGCTCTCTCCCAGAATCGAAAAGCTACCTCAATTACTTCCCTCTAATATAAAAAAACAAAATAAGTTAAAATACTTTGAATGTTTTAATTAAGTAAAACTAATTGCTTATAAAGTTGAGCAATTCAAAGATTCCCGTATCCATCTTCACATGATGTAAGTAGAATAAAAAACAACAGTTTTGACCTTTCACAATATTGTTGGTGATGTACAGTAGTCAACGATTTCCAGGAATAGATAGTTAGCTCTGAAAAAATACCTATTACCATTCAAATTATTCACTTTAATAGATGGATATTATAGTGAAATCATGCGTGTTAATACTTACGAAGTTGATGAATCTTCTACAAAACTTTGATTAAATTCAAATCAGTGAACAAATGTAATTGGTAAATTGTTCTATAACTAATGTGAGTACACTTCATTGTGCTAATTCTGTTAAGTGTAATGATAAAATAAACAACCATAATACCAATAATGACGACAACATGTTATGAAACATCATATAACATCAATATGATGATACACCTAAAATATAGAAAGTCAACATAATCAATTTAGAAACAACTATGGAAACCCTGTTAAAATTCCGATTACTATTTTATAGATTATTATTATGGTATTCATTCGTCCAACTGTTTCCAGACATTTCTCCAACTATCTTAACATCAGTGTTCACACTGAAATATCCTGACAAGTCTACAATGAAAGTTGATTTCAAACACGATCAATGTTATTCATCCTTGATTCAAATCCAATAATGAGAATACTACTGGCAAGAATTTCTATGGTTAAACTAGGAGATTGATCGACATATTATTTAATGCATTAGCAACATATCCACACAATGATTACACTGTTGTGAACAGGAAAATAAGAAGCTATTTCTTTGGACGTTATTTCATTTTATTCGAACCTTGTAAAACATATCTATTTTTGTTTCTATTTTATCGTACAGAACATGAGCTTTCGTTCGATGTATCACTCACTGCCATACCCATTTTTGTTCCGAAACTATTGTAATTTAAACATAATATTTTGCACCTTATTTTCTACCCTAATTCCCAGTTTTGGACATAATTGTATTTGCCCAAATTATCGTACGTTCTGTTCAGGATATTCACTTATTTATTCATGTACGTTTTTGCACTTAATCCGAATTCAGAATTCATAGTGTTCCAACTGTCTTGTCTTCTCTCACTTGTGTGCTTGCCAGCCAATCAAGTTCTAGAATAGGTTTCTCTCTACCCCACCTCGAACTCACGCGTACTAGACTCAAGGTTAAACCGCTCAGCCAATTGGTCAAGGTCAAAATCTAGACGAGACAGGTCAAGGTCAAGTCATAATAAAGTATCGACGGGGTAAAAGCGATTCAAGGTCATAACAGACAAACAGTGATTCACGTGGTTCATCCAACAAAATAATTGATAAATGAAAGAAGAAGTAAACAACAGTAAACACTCTTACCTTGAAATCATGAAATAATCGGTGCCTTCGAATACTTTCTGCGTATATCACAACAAACTTCAGTCCATTGCCTCCATATTGACGTTTATCAATCGGTTCACCTAAGACACCGGTATTCTGAAGAGATATTCTCTTAAAAATAATCATACCAGAGTGATGTTTGGCATAAGTTGACAAATATATTCATTTCTAACAAATGCCAGTAAGCAAATAAAACATAGAAACACTAAGATATGTCTTAAAGAATATCTCATTCTCATTGAACACTTTGAACTCAATTGAATACTACTGGATGGATGGTATGAATTTCATGAATTCATCATCTTGTTTATATACTTAAATTAAATGTTCATTCATCAATGAATAACTGGTTAAACTAATATCGGTTTCAAATTACTTTTTTTCAATGTGATATGTCCTTTATTTAATTTATTATACAATATAAGTACATTTTTACAAATATGAAACTCCTTTTAGGAAACTATAATAGTAAGTAGTGTGTGTGTGTGTGTGTTTGTTGACTTATCTACATGATGAATCCATGAAATTTACATTTACAATTTGAGTTCAAAGAAAGAAAGAAAGTGAGAAAGAAGAAGAAAACAAAACATTCTAAGGGTTCATCACTCAGTTAGAACCAACAACCTACTACTGTTTTATTTATTTTTTGATTAATAGTAAATTTCTTAATGAAAATTCACTTTTACATCCTCTTTGAAGCTTCAAAGAGAATCAAATTAGATGATTGTTTTCCAATCAAATTAGATGAACAATCAGTAATACTGAATCAATGAATGAATGATACTGATTATGAATGTATTTATCTGTATAAAGTGGGATAATCTTATTGTGAAACAGATTCACTCTAGTTGGTCACATGAATCTTTTAGGGTTTATTCTTAACTCATTAATCATTTGTAACTGAATAAACAATCAACACGTTTCTGATTAACTTCCCAAGACTTCAATATTTTGTACATTTTATATGTGAAATAAGATTGATATAATTATTTTCAACAAATAGAAAGGTTGTTGGTATGGTAAAAGTATTCAAAATTATCATATCCTTTAATTAATTTAAGGCATCATATTCTACTGAAAACCATCTTGATATCATGTTGATCTACATATCTTGGTAGCATCGTTGAAGAGCATGGTCTATCCGATGCAGATGTGAAGGGCGGCCTGTTTGGGCATCTGGGCTACCTGTTCCTGCCATCTAGATATTTCAACAAGTTATCTGTTTTTGTTTATTTTAATTTATCATTATGTTTATTGATCGCATAACCTATTCTGCTGCGTTTCTGAAAAGTGTACAACCTTTCGTTGTCAAAGTTACAAAAAACTCAATAAGAGACAATGTGGTTGCTGGCAATATACAGCGAAAATAATGCACATTATTCAGATGTTCATTTACTGAACTGCTAACATCTAACTGACGATCACTCAATATTTATCGCCAGGATCGACCAAGAAGAAAGAAACGGAAACTTGTTGAAATACTTTACGTTGAGAATTCTAGATTGTACCAAAAATATAATACTGAATAAAGCTGATGATGATAATAATAATAATCGCCAAAGCAAGAGCAGCATATTTACAATTGAAAAACATCTGGAAACCAAAACAACTCTCAACCAATAACAAAGTCAGGATTTTCAATACAAATGTCAAAACACATTTACTGTATGCAGTGGAAACTTGGACAACTACCAAAACAATCATCCACAAGATACAGGTGTTTATTAACAACTGTCTATGCAAAATACTTCAGATAAGGCTTAAAAAGCGTTTACGAATACGTGGGCGATAATCACATAATGATTATTAATCTTAAATGAATTTTGATGGTTTCATCACTTGACCTTTGCCATGGAAATAAGGAATTGAGACAAAATAATTTAAATTAAATTGTGGGTGGCCCTGAAAAAGGCTTTTACTTGTTCTCTTAACAGTTCCGAATTTCATGAACAAATGCGTTGCTATGATTCCATTATAGCGCCGCATATGGGACAGTGGATTCCATGGACAAGTGGTGATGGGTCGTAAGCGTAAAATAAATGAAGCATTGCTTCGCATGGACAAAAAATCCAGGCATTCCCATTAGCAGTTTCATGTGGCGGTTCCGCAACATCGCAAATATCACAAAGACTGGTGTCATACGCGTTCTCGTTATTGTCGTCATCTCGTTCAATGAACTCCTCTGAGTATAAGTAATCTGATAGTGAGAGAATCACATTAATTGAATAATTGTAAACAAAATACTTGGTTATTAAACAACAATAATGTTTACCGCAATTGAAATAACTTAAGGCTAAATTAGCTAATTTTGCAAACAGATATTCTCCTGGGATGAAAATTTTTGTATTTTATGTGCACTGCTGAGGAGTCCCACAATAGGACGAAACGGCTATCCAGTGCTTCTAGGTTCTTCATCGTGGTCTGGCTTCAATTTACTCATGATCTCAATCATTAAAATTGCTATAATATCCACAAAACGCTTTCTGATGTTATTCCAAGTAATTTGAATATAATGATAAAGTAAACATTGAATATGAATAATGTCTAAGATATAAATATATATATGATACTACTAGTTGTACTAAGGTTTTATATTAATAATATTTAAGATCAAACTTCATATATTATAAAATCTGTTTTTCTACCATCTCCTTACAAATACTAATCATCAGTTGTATTCAAACAGTTAGCTTTTCATTATGGGCTTTAAACTAAGAAATTTAGTATTATTGTATAGCTCACAATGATAGAGAAATGTTCAATCATACATTGGGGTATGTTCTACCGACAACAGTTATTGATTCAGTTGTGTAACGAAGAAAAAAAATTATTTCCACTTACAAATTCAATCAGTGTGACAAGAAAAGAATTTGTTGTAAGAGGTGAAATGAGTTTTGATAACTAAAAACACCATATTCGATATTTTACGAATGTAAGTCAAATCCTCCTGAAGCCCTTCTACAATTATTGCCGGTTCAATGCACGGATGAAGGAAAAACGTTTAGAGTCAGCTTACAGTAACGTGATTGGAAGTGGAAGCATCTAATTTCGCAAACGTATACACAAATTTACATAGGCTACACCACGGGGAACCAGATCGACCACATCTGCATCAATAAATATTTAGGTCTATGGAAGATGTAAGGGCAATGAGAGGAGCTGTTATAGCTTCAGATTATCAACTGCTAGTGTTCAAGCTAAAGCTAAAGCTATTAAAGTTTAGTATCCAGTACCATGTTACACTCACATGGGTTGCTCTAGCTTGCGTACATACCAATTTATGTATTTTGCTCAAGTTATTATCCACAAATATTTTGACCTTGTTAATTAGTTGTGTATAACCTCTGCTGTTTATATTTGAACGTGTGTATGCATCAAATACTCTACTCATCGCATGATTTGGCTTGTTTCTGTCCGACTGTATATAGTAAGTCGCGCTTTATCAAATACAGTTGGCACTTTTGCCTTCTCCTGTTCTCTTTTGCTCACTTTCCAGCAGTTCAATTTTAATCTCTGTTTTAGTAAACGCATGCCTGAAATAAATCCACCTAATTTAATTGATATTTCGCTTCTTCTTATAGCCGTCACACTAACAGGGTTAGCCTAGGGGTGATAAGAGAAATCAAAAGGAGGCTTTATCTTCATGGAGCATTCATTAGTTCATACACATCGAAGTCAGATTGTGTACCACTAAAGAAGAATGAGATAATTGGTTAAGTAGCATTAAAAACAATTAATACAACCTTCCTTTGAAATGATAACAAAATTGGCAAACTAAAGATAGGTCACAAAAACAAGCTCCAAGTCTTACAAGATCTACTGTAATGAGAGAAAACCATAGTAAAAAACAACTGGAAAAGGTTTAAGGGAACAATGACTTCAACATACCATGAGATATAGGTCCCAAGAAGCATCAGAGAAGACAATGGATTTTTGTAAACAGCTTGGATGGGATCTAAGGAAGGAAAAGTGTTAAGAAAGCAGTGCACAACAATCGAATATATACAGAGAAAGTAAAGCTACAGGCCGAATATACGGAAATAAACAAACAAATAACGAGCAGCATTAGAACTGACAAGCAGAAATAAGCGAGAGACTTAGTAACTACAACAGAAGAAGCTATAAGAGAAGGGAACAAAACAGAATTATGTGATGCAACTTAGAAACTTGCAAACAAATATAGCGAACCAGAGAGATCAGTCAAGAGCAGCAGAGCTGGTGGTAAGGTAATTTTGAATAGCTCTAGAACACGTGAGCATCGCTGAACCCACAGGAAACGGAAGAGAAATAAAGAGACATCCATGCGGACGACATCTAATCATCGGTGGAATAAATTAGCAAAGCCATCAGACAAACTGAAAGTGAAGTAGCATTAGATCAAGCACATTACTCTGGTTGCAACGTAATAGAGAGTGTAGTGGGAGACACTTACATTATGGGCTACTAGAATTTTGACTTATTCTACCTTTTTCATTCGTTCACTACCTACCTGCTATTCTTCCCTATGTTTCTCGTTAGAAAAATGAAGCAGGTCATTCTATATAATTTTTCGGCGTGCTTTACAAGGAAGAGTGATGGATCCTTAAAGAGGTCCATCTATAGAAAACAAATATGGGATGGCTAATTAACCGAATTCTATAGCTGGAATCTTATGCACTTCCTGTTTTACCATCTATTTGGGATGTGTAGTATTGAATGCTTTCAGGAAAAACTTCGTTTCCTCAGCAAAATATTAACTAAAAACGGTTATCCTAGTCTCTTCGTAGATAAAAATTCGAGAGAGAGTCAGAACAAGAAATCCAGATATCCCTTCTCAAAGAGGCGATCAAACTTCTGATGTACTGAAGAATAATTTGTTCAGAGAAATTAAAGAAAGGATTATATGCAAAATGGCTACGACTAGCAATCACTAGCAGGAATTTATTTTTAGCATGCGTTAAGGATAAGCTTTGTCATCTCAACTCCTCTATAGAGATTTACAAATTTACCTGCTCATATTGAGCAAGGTACATAGTCTGTAGCCAGAGATTGTCTCCAACTTGAGTACAACAAGATATCTCAGTGTAGTTCTACACAGATAAGAGGATAGTAGTTAGGAGTTCTATTCTTGAATATTTAATAGATTCTGATCACTCCAATGATCGACAGGTTGATATTACCGTATCAATATTTCATTTTATTCAGCCTATTAAAATAGAAGAAGCTCTTGCCTTCCATGAAATTAAGCTGTAACTGTGTGTAAAAATAAATGATTTCTATCGATGTCTTTTCCATGACCTTAAACTATTATTATCATAATTTTATTTTTATTTGATGAATTTGGAATTTGAAACTACTCCTCTCTCTAAATTCCCTTGGTGTTGTTTGGTTGTATCTTCACATTGATGTTTATGACTCCGATTAACCAGTCTCTTATTGGAATATGTGCATCCTGTGCAGATTGACTTGATATTGCCTTAAGCCACAAGTTCTATAACCAAAAATGAGTAGTGGCTAACAGTAGGACTCAGGAAATGAGTTTCGTCCTATTCGATACTCGTCGGCTGGGTATACCTGCACCCGAGTTGATATTCACTTCAGAACTCGAACCCAGTACCGTTCGCTTTAAACGCCATTGCGTTATCCACTTAGCTCCTCTCCCTAATAATTTCTCATATCCCCTTGAGTTTGATTTATAATTTTCTCTGAGGTTATATGATTAGTGAATAAACATATATAACTTAAAAATAAATTCGTTAAATAGAGGAACCTTAGCTGAACTTCATCTTCAATATTTAGAAGATAATTATGTCTAATTAATGTTTTCTCCACTAAGTATTTTTAAATCATATATGTTTACTAGAAGCACATGTTGTAAGTCGGTCATTGCTCGAAATGTATTAACTCTTTTCAAATGAAGTAATTAGACTTGTAATTCTATAATTAGTATTTTTGATTGAGATTATGGACCGATTGATGTTAGATCACCATTGAAAACCTAAAAGCACTGGACGGAAGTTTCGTCCTATTGTGGAACTCTAGAGCAGTGCGCATTCACGAAACTGCTCGTGGGATTCGAACACAGAGACTTCAGTGTCGTGCGTAGATGTTTAACCTGTAGACCACTGAGCCGGCCGTCATCCAACGGTATCAATGTCTAATTCTAACCAATCCACGAAATCGTGTGACCATCTTACATTGTATTGTGGTAGTTACCTGTTTGTAACTGATGCAGATTAGCTTGTGATGTAATTAAAATTGTTTAAGTTGATGATAATGATTTATTAAGAATCTATGGTCTCATTTAATTAGTTTTTAGTGAGTTACATTTCATTTGTAAGTTGATCTATATTCTCCAATTTATCATGAAACTTGAAATTAAAACGCTTTTGGATTGACTTGATCTCTGTCAGCTTCCGCCAACAAAAGGCTCTTTACTTACTTAATTACGCCTGTTACCCTCCAATTGGGCATAGGCCGCCAACCAGCATTCTCCAACTCACTCGGTCCTCGTCCTTCCTTTCTACTTCTATCCAATTGTTGTTCATTCTTCTTATGTCTGTCTCCATTTCTCGGTGTAGTGTTTCTTTGGTATTCCTAGCCTACTTTGTCCTTCAGGATTTCGTGTGAGGGCTTGACTTGTGACACAGTTCGGTGCTTACCTCAATGTGTGTCTTATCTACTTCCACGGATTCTTCTTGATTTATTTTTCCTCTGGAATCTCGTTTCTTCTCTCCCATAGTAGGTTGTTGTTGATAGTGTTTGGCCGAACGATCCTAGGTATTTTGCATAGATAGTTGTTAATAAACACCGGTATCTTGTGGATGATTGTTTTGGTAGTTCTCCAAGTTTCCACTGCATACAGTAAATTTGTTTTGACATTTGTATTGAGAATCCTGACTTCGGTGTTGGAGACAGTTGTTTTGATTTCCAGATGTTCTTCAACCGTAGATATGCTGCTCTTTCATCGGATCCACTATGTTCATCAATGATGCTACCCAGGTATGTAAAGGATTTTACGTCCTACAATTCTTCTCCGTCAAGTGTGATTCCATTGATGCATGATGTGCTGTATTGAAGAAACTTACTTTTCCCTTTGTGTATATTGAAACCTACTGCTGCTGAGACTACTACTACACTGGTCACCTTCTCCTGCATTTGTTGTTGCGTGTGCGATAGAAGAAAGGCTCTTTAGTTTCTTTTCGTATATGTAAATATTCAGGATTATTGAAGGCATTCAAGTAATTTCCAAAGATTTCATCCTGACATTTTCAAAGAGGATTTGACAATCAACATGATATCAAGATGGTTTTCAGTAGAATATGATGCCTTAAATTAATTAAAGGATATGATAATTTTGAATACTTTTACCATACCAACAACCTTTCTATTTGTTGAAAATAATTATATCAATCTTATTTCACATATAAAATGTACAAAATATTGAAGTCTTGGGAAGTTAATCAGAAACGTGTTGATTGTTTATTCAGTTACAAATGATTAATGAGTTAAGAATAAACCCTAAAAGATTCATGTGACCAACTAGAGTGAATCTGTTTCACAATAAGATTATCCCACTTTATACAGATAAATACATTCATAATCAGTATCATTCATTCATTGATTCAGTATTACTGATTGTTCATCTAATTTGATTGGAAAACAATCATCTAATTTGATTCTCTTTGAAGCTTCAAAGAGGATGTAAAAGTGAATTTTCATTAAGAAATTTACTATTAATCAAAAAATAAATAAAACAGTAGTAGGTTGTTGGTTCTAACTGAGTGATGAACCCTTAGAATGTTTTGTTTTCTTCTTCTTTCTCACTTTCTTTCTTTCTTTGAACTCAAATTGTAAATGTAAATTTCATGGATTCATCATGTAGATAAGTCAACAAACACACACACACACACACACTACTTACTATTATAGTTTCCTAAAAGGAGTTTCATATTTGTAAAAATGTACTTATATTGTATAATAAATTAAATAAAGGACATATCACATTGAAAAAAAGTAATTTGAAACCGATATTAGTTTAACCAGTTATTCATTGATGAATGAACATTTAATTTAAGTATATAAACAAGATGATGAATTCATGAAATTCATCACATCCATCCAGTAGTATTCAATTGAGTTCAAAGTGTTCAATGAGAATGAGATATTCTTTAAGACATATCTTATTGTTTCTATGCTTTATTTGCTTACTGGCATTTGTTAGAAATGAATATATTTGTCAACTTATGCCAAACATCACTCTGGTAAGTATGATTATTTTTAAGAGAATATCTCTTCAGAATACCGGTGTCTTAGGTGAACCGATTGATAAACGTCAATATGGAGGCAATGGACTGAAGTTTGTTGTGATATACGCAGAAAGTATTCGAAGGCACCGATTATTTCATGATTTCAAGGTAAGAGTGTTTACTGATGTTTACTTCTTCTTTCATTTATCAATTATTTAGTTGAATGAACCAGGTGAATCACTTTTTGTGTCATCATTGTGTTGATATGTTGCTAATGCATTAAATAATATGTCGATCAATCTCCTAGTTTAACCATATAAATTCTTGCTAGTAGTATACTGATTATTGGATTTGAATCAAGTATGAACAACGTTGATCGTGTTTGAAATCAACTTTCATTGTAGACTTATCAGGATATTTCAGTGTGAACACTGATGTTAAGATAGTTGGAGAAATGTCTGGAAACAGTTGGACGAATGAATACCATAATAATAGTCTATAAAATAGTAATGGGAATTTTAAGAGTGTTTCCATAGTTGTTTCTAAATTGATTATGTTGACTATATATATCTTGGATGTATCATCATATTGATGTTATATGATGTTTCATGACATGTTGTCATCATCATTGGTATTGTGGTTGTTTATTTTATCACTACGCTTAACAGAATTAGCACAATGAAGTGTACTCACATTAGTTTTAGAACAATTTACCAATTACATTTGTGCACTGATTTGAATTTAATCAAAGTTTTGTAGAAGATTCATCAACTTCATAAGTATTAACACGCATGATTTCACTATAATATCCATCTATTAAAGTGAATAATTTGAATGGTAATAGGTATTTTTTTCAGAGCTAACTATCTATTCCTGGAAATCGTTGACTACTGTCTATCATCAACTATATTGTGAAAGGACAAAACTGTTGTTATTTATTCTACTTACATCATGTGAAGATGGATACGGGAATCTTTGAATTGCTCAACTTTATAAGAAATTAGTTTTACTTAATTAAAACATTCAAAGTATTATAACTTATTTTGTTTTTTTTATATTAGAGGGAAGTAATTGATGTAGCTTTTCGATTCTGGGAGAGAGCATTGAGTGTAAGAAGACCACCAAACAGAAAGCTGCTTGCAGAAAGGTTAGTATATAATTATGAGTACAATTCTGCGTGTTTAAGGACAAATTTTGCAATTTTAATCGTTCAGATGATGAATTAGTTGAAGCTAGACCACCATAGAAAACCTAGAAGCACTGGAAGGTAGTGTGTTCGAATCTTACAAGTCGGGATCGTGGATGCGCACCTCTAAAGAGTCCCATAATACGACTAAATGGACGTCCACAAAAACCCCTTTACATATTGATATTTTGAGGAATTTCACATTTGTTTTTTATAATTTAAGATGATCTTATTATTATGAAACAGTGATTATCAATTTATTCATACAAAATGCCTCGTTCATATTTCATTCTAATAAACTGTATGATAATCAATACTTCAAACAAGAATCTAATTCCCATATTCCGTATCAGTTTGGAATGATCTCCACAAGATTACTATGGAGTTTTTCTTCTCATTTCTTCTCATTTCTTCTCATCTCACCATAAACCATTTCAGTATGTTGATTGATTTTTAACTATTGTATATTTGATATTATTCTTTCAGAGGATGTGTTGAACAATCATTCTTTCGAGATTTAACAACGGGTAAAATATTTTGTAAATCACAATGTAAACCAAAAGCTACTTGCTACAACCATCCAATTCCAGATGAATATGCCTCCGTAAGTTTTAGTCAAAAATATTTCAATTAGTAGGCATCAGAATAAGATTTCAATCATTTTTATGTAACCTAAATCAGATAATGAAGTTAATGTCATAACAATGATGTATTTGTAATCGAGATATAAGTATCTAATGACTGATGAGTACATATACGGTATCATGTTTTACAATTTTGATATAAAACTAATCAAGTTTTATCCATAGATTGTTTAGAATTAAATCTTTGAATAAATTATACACTTTCTTGAAACACCCTTGTCATATAAAGTAAACTGAGAATAAGACAGTAGGATTGCTCAGCAATGGGCATTCACGATCCCGTAAGCGGGATTCAAACGCATGGCTTAATCTCTAGATAACTGAGTCAGCATCCAATGGTGTTAATGTTTAACCTCAATTAATTCAGGAAATTGCGCGACCACCTTCTATGATAATGAGGTAGATACCTGTCTCTACCCGACACGGATTAGCTTCACTGGTAACGGCTTCACACTAGAACTCTGAGAATTCCTTCATGAAGCTAGTCACTAGTGAATAAACACACTGCTGATTTTATTGTCGTTCTTTTGTACAGTTGAGATAACGAGTGTATATAATCACGATAAAAAAGACTGATAAACCTACCGAACTAAGAAATAACAACGGTACTGAACAATTGCAAATATCGTCGGGGTTTTCGATTCTGACAGTAGTTTATTACACAAATGTTGAATTATCACCTTGAATGAATCAGTAACCTGTTATTTTGACATCAATTAGATCGGATGATGTTGTTGACGGGCTGATCATTTTAGTGAACCTGAATCTTACACCAATTAGATCGTATAAATGATTATTATTGAAGGATTGCTGTTGAAATGTCAGCTATCCTCGTGTGTAATTATCGACCTAATCCGCGTTAGTCAATAACAGAATTAAATAAGCCATATACGAGAATCGATTTGGAATATGTTCATTTCATGCACTCATTGGTTTGAACACGCAATCAGGGAGACGAAACAAAGAGGGAAGAGCAAAGCAGATTAGAAAAAGTAAGTGGGCCAACTCACTTTAGTAAAGCGTAGATCAATATTTATATTCTAACAAAAATATGCTACAGACATGTGATGAGTAAGATAGGAAATGCACACAAATACGCTTACATAAAAACAATCAAGGTTGATAAGTGAATAATTCACAAGGTCAAAATGTGACTCAAGAAGGATGAACAAATTGGCTTATCCGGAAGCTAGAATAAGCTATGTGGGCTTTGCTTAGCAACTGACACTGCAGTTCCATCCACCAAGTTTATCATTATGAGAAGTATAGTTACCTTGAACTATAATGACATGATGTATTCCTGGATGTAAGTGATTTCCTCAGATTATCGCTCAGTGAGTTTATGTGGTTTGTAATATTTAATTGAGCTGATGTCTTTTACCATTGATCATCAACTATCATTTCGTAAGCTCTTTCATCAACTACAATGTAATCTAGTGACTTTGAATGGTGTGACTATCTGGCATTTCACCTGCCATTTGTTTATTGTCGTTAAGGAGTCATCAAAACTGTGATGTTAACTGACTACGTCTGTATTGAAACTAGAAGTTGAATCAACACGAACATGAGAAAAATTAATACTGAAACTAAACGTAACATCATATTTGGACTGTAAGTGTGAAACAAAACTACCTGAAGTAGTGATAGTATTATGTTTAACTGAGTGAAGCACTAGACAGTAGTGCAGGAAACAGTGTACTTATATTTATATACGTTTTAATAACCAGTATTTTTTTCTCTCCATTTTAATGAATAGGGATGCTCTGTAGGATCTGGTGTTGGATCTCTCAGAGAAGTTTATCGAGATGGTCCAGGATTTGCACCAAATCAATATGTTGTTTTTGTCTCAAGTGTGAATGAACTTGGTTGCTTATCAGGTAGAACATTGGCTTATGCTGGTGCATGTGAAACGCACCCTACAACTGACAGGTTAGTAATTATTCATTTGATTGGATCATAAGATTAGAAAACAATTAATTCGTTTAAACGTTGACATTAAATTTTTATTTGTAAAGTGAGCGAACAGTTTACTATTGTATATGTCCTCATAATCGATGAGAGTGAAGGGTTTTAACACCGTCAATGAAAACCATCCCTTTCTTCTTTACCTAAATTCCCAATAATTTGAAAATATTCTGAATGTATATGCTAACAAGTAGGGTTCGGATCATTGAAATTCACAGTGGAAAATCCATAAGATAAGAGGAATCAGTTAACTTGTTTGATAAGAAACATAATATTATTGAACCAAATTGATAAGAATAATGTACCACCACAAGATCTGTCTACATAAGCAACATGTTATGGTAACATATTGTATTTAAGTTCCATATGTATTTTAACTTCAGACCAATTATGGGAATGATCAACTTCTGTCCAGAAAAGATGGAAATAGAAGAACCAGGAAGAACTATGATGCTTGGTACAGCTATTCATGAAATGGCTCATGCTTTGGTGAGTGTTTATATTTAAACGAAAGCTGCTTTGTTAAACTTACATTATATCGAAAAAAGGGTAATAATAAATTTCATTTCGAAAATGTTAGATCATTTCTAGTTGATAGCCCCCAAGTGCTCTGATACAGCCGAGAGTGGGGAGAGTCAGCTCTCTCTCTCTCTCTCGAAATACTATCACATGGCCTACAACCGTGCATACAACCACTACCAGGCAAGTACTAATCACTGCCTTCTCACGGTGGGGTGTTGATTACAAAATTGAGAGTATGGAAAACGGATGTTCGGCGCATTAACTGGGTTGGTGAACATAGAGAGTCCATATGGGGTAGTTGGAAGACCTTGATTCCAAACGAATAGTGCACATGTATTCCAGGATCCTGAGAGGATGAATGGCGTGTGAACTAATCGTTGATCACCGACTACTAAGAGACTGCATCTCCCGACGTTGCTCCACTGCCATATGGATCAGACATTTAAGTAAAAGGCACCGGGTATCGCCTCTTAATAAAACCACCTGTTTCGGTTTCGGCACCCGAGTAGTATCCCAGCCTTAACACAAATCAAATGAGATTTATGTGGCACATATCTATTTGGTGCCTCCCTATACTAATGTTTATCTGTTTTCACAAATAATAATAATTTACTATTTGATTAAAGTAATTTACTTTGTCGCATCCTGTACACTGTCTTAATAGAATTTTGATTATATCGTTCACCAGCCTATGATTTCAATACTAATTGTCATTTTTCTTGCAAATCGCATAATTGTTTTAATAAGTATCATGAGGCTCTTTAAACTTACTTACTTACTTACTCCTGTTACTCCCAATGGAGCAAAGGCCACCGACCAGCATTCTCCAACCCAGTCTGTCCTGGGCAGTTCATTATATAATAACTTGTAACATAGAACTTGAAAGATCACCATGTTAAACCTCCTATTCTTACATTTATTATAATTTTACTGAAATTAAACTATTGAACATTTTAGGGATTCTCTAAGTCGAATTACGCTTTGATGCGTGATCGAGACGGCAGACCATTAACACCAAGAGATCCCAGAACAGGTAAACCACCATTGAATCCTCAAAGGCAGTATGATCCAAGGTGACTTATTGTTTTGTGATTCTAGTTTTATCCTAACTCTTTTCAAAGTTCTTTATCAGTTTCTAGTGTCTTCTAGTATGTTATTTATAATAATCAAGTAAACCAAACTTTGCTTCACTCAACTATTAGATGACATTTTCTTTTCAACGATATGTATAGTCCACAAATCAACTGGTTGTTCACGTTTTATCACCTAAATCTACAAACGGTTCTTGATTCGAAAAATTCATTAGTTGAAACACTAAGAACTGTTCCGAGTAAGTCAGTCAATCGGCCACAACGTAGGACAAGGCACATATAAACAGCGGTCCAAGTTGTCATACCTCATTAACACAACAAGATGAGTAAGGATCCTGTGGAGATTAATATGAATCAAAAATATTTGAGTATATGCATTCACCACTACAGATTCATGTATTTTCGCCTACTTAAGAAAGATGCTTTAATTGAAGAGATGAGTGAAATAAGTTTAAAGTAATTAAACTCAGTTAAATAGGAGAATATTATAAGGAACCGAGTACTAATATCAGTTCTCTAATATACAGATTATAGTTCCTCTATTTGAAGTGAGTTAGTGAATATACAATCGTTATGTTATTGTGACGACGAGATACACATGTTGGAAGTAGAAAAATTCGATTATATTGAGAAAAACTCAGTGATTGATAGAAGTTCCTTATCGAACATATCGATCATTTTGATAAGCAAAGTTCAAGAGGAAGTAATAAGGTTATTATGGTCTATACGTTGATAACTATGAACTTAATAATGATCTTAATATAATTTGAAAGTTAGTTCACTCACGACGTTTACATAAACATATTTCTCAATAGGCGACAACTAAACGATCAGCTGGTTAGCGTTTTTTTTAGCGAGTTAGTCACTAACTCCACGCTCAACCCCCCTCCTTCAATGATGAATTAGGTAGATAAACAGTAAAAAGAAAAGACAACTTACACCCCGTCCCCCCCCCAAAATGATAAAATACACATAAATATTATTTCTACGCAACTTATATTCAATCATGTCTTCATATTACATTTTCTAAATAAACGTTTTGTGTTCCATTTCAGTGAGATTACTGTTAAACGAATTGCTCGTCCCTGGCTTACAGCGGCTGGATCTTTTATAAAAACTTTCTCATCATTTGTTACACCGACATTACTGGTAAGTTTTAGTGTCAAGTTAACACTCAGTGCAATCGAAATGTGTATTCGTTACTCATAAACTAATTAATTACTTACTTACTTACACACGCCTGTTACTCCTCATGGAGGAGCATAGGCCTCCCACCAGCATTCTCCATCCAATCCTGTCCTGGACAAATCTTTCCAGATCTTTCCAGTTCTTATTTATCCTTTTCATATCTACTTCCATTTGTAGACGTCATGTGTTCTTTGGTAGTCCTCTTTTCGGCTTCTCTTCAGGATTCGAATTTAGCGCTTGTTTCGTGATGCAGTTTGATGATTTCCGTAATGTAGGTTCTATCGATTTCTGTCGTCTTTTCGTAATTTCCTCTTCAGTTGGAATTTAGTTTGTTCTCTCCCACAGTAGGCTGTTGTTGAATCTAGAATCTAGGAGTGTTCACAATGCTTAAGAATGAACTGAAACATTCTAGATTGACAAATATATTCAAAGATTTGAAGTATTATAAGAATTAATTATCGAATAAGTAACAATTTTATAAATTAAGCCATACTACTTCTAACTTATATTCACATAAAGTGTATAGAAAACATCAGATGACTTAATAACAGATATTAGCACTTTCAGTTTCATTCTTTGATCTAGATATTTCTTTTGTCGTTATGCCATTCCGAAATATTCCATTTGCCAATGTACATACACCCTGTCGTTTTTACCAACTCCTATATTCAACCCTATATACCTAACTATGAATGTTTTATAATTTGATTTGATAAGAAATTATTTTCAATCAAAAAATTATTTATTCTCATTTAGGCGGTAGGACGCAAACATTATAACTGCCCTAACCTGGATGGGATCGATATAGAGAATGAAGGAGGAGAAGGAACAGCTGGTTCACATTTTGATAAACGAACAGTTGGTGTAAGTAAAGCAATTATTCATCTGTAGCAAAAGATCATTTTGTATTCGTCTCTTGGTCCTTCTGTTATAATGTTTCAGTAGCACCACTCGTCTGATTTACTGTGAAGTAACTTTAATAGTTGAGATCGTGATTCAATTGAAGCTAGACCACTATGAAACACCTGGAAGGAGTGGACAGCCGTTTCGTCCTATTGTGAGATTCCTCAACAGTGCACATCTATGATCCTGCCTCGCGAGATTCGAACCCACGACCTATCAGTCAGTAGCCTATATTGTACTGTTATTTGATTTAATGTATCATAATGAAAAGTCAGAAGTTGTGGTAATATGAAGAAAAAGACTCGATAACAATCCAAGATTGATGTTTCCTGATAGTCGGTACTTGTAAGATGGAATGACATATATAATTCTGGTTAAAATGTTATCTTTCTGGGATCTGAGTTGGTGTTACACCTTACTGAAAAATGTCAATTAGCATGAAACTGGAGTCTAGATCTTCTTGTCGAATGCTCTCAATCGTCAATTATCGAAACATAAAACATGAGATGTCAGGTTATTTAAATTAAGGATTACATCGTGAACTAATTCATGGAATTCGATCTATACCAAAGACTCTCTAATTAATAAGTAAACAACATGATATGATGATTAAATTTGGCTGTTTGTTGCGAAGTCAAGTTGTTTGAATGAATATTTGAAATGTACGGGAACTTAGAAACGAGCACGATCTGGTGATGTAATCCGAATGACTAATTCTGTTCACTTTGTTTATGTTTATTACAGGATGAAACAATGGCTGGTGAGACTGGAGTGAAAAGTGTACTTTCAGCATTAACATTAGCATTCTTCACAGATTCAGGGTAAATTAATACAATTAAATGTATCGTAAATGTTTCAATCGAGAATCTTGAGTATATTTATTGTGGAGCTAATCCGTGTCAGGTAGAGACAGGTATCTACCTCATTACAATGGAAGATGGTCACACAATTTCGTGGATTGTTTGGCGTTAGACATTAACACTGTTGGATGCCGTCCAGCTTAGTAGTCTACAGGTTAAGCATTTGCGCGCAAGAACGAGATCGTGAATGCGCACTGTTCTGGAGTCCCACAATAGGACGAAACAGCCGTCCAACACTTTCAGGTTTTCAATGGTGATCTAATATCAATCGGTTTATGATCTCGATCAAAAACTTATTGGTCTCCACAACCCTATACTGATAATTTATTGTGTATTTTGAATCATTTCGCAAATTTGTTTTATGCTAATATGGCATAAGATGTATCAACTTAACAATTCTTACCACTTATTTGTTCAGACAGTTAAATTAGCTCAATTTCTAATCACCATCCGAGAAGGCAAATTTAGATGAGATTACAATTGACGAACAACCTCTGAGTGATGCTAAACTGACCTTGACAGTGTTCACCTTATAACTAAGATCAAATGAGGTTTATAAACCAGTGTGAGGAATTACAATTATGATTGACAGTTGGTGGTTAGCGTTAGGAATTAGATTTATGGTTTCCATCATTAGTTATTATGCCAAAACTCTATTTATCCAAATGGACGTGTGAAATTCGCGCCAAAATCTGTGACCTGTTATCTTGAATCTGATTGCTTCATCCATAAATTATAGTCTTGCCATTTTATTTCATTTCATTTCATTTATTTATTGAATATATTGTTTTGATTTGAATGAAGCTGGTGGGATGTCGATTATTCAGTTGCTTCAGAATGGCATTACGGAAAGGATTTAGGTTGTAACTTCATCATGGGAAGCTGTTATGCATATATGGCACGAATGAAGCAAGCGTAAGATTTATTCAATTATTTCAATATATTACTCATGATTAAAACTTACCGCTAAGTTTTCTATTATTGTCATTAGCAGTAGTATTAGTAGTAATAGAATTGATAATATTTTTTCTGGTTAGCGTTTGTTTAGCGAGTTAGTTTTTTATGGGATGGGGTCGCCAACCCAATGCCCAACCATCCTCCTTTATCCGGGCTTGGGACCAGCAGTAGCCCCAGAGGGGCTGCAGGCAGAGTTATTGATAATATTAATATTCTTAAAATCATGACCTTGTTACCAGTAATCTCAGTTTATATATTAAATAGGTTTTAAGTGGTTACAATGTCCATTTCATTTCAGAGGGAAAAGCATAGAACCTTACTGTGATGAAACGGGTTCTTTAACGTGCTATCATAAGAAGGCTTTTGGGATTTGTGCTATGGGAAAATATAAGAATTTATTACCACCAGAAGAGCAATATTTCAAAGGTAATCCTAATGTTGGAGGTACCAGTACATTGACAGATAGATGCCCCACTGTTCAGGTTAGTATTTTTTTATTGTTTAGTTCTAATCAAATATGCTTTACTTAATTGTTCGAAAATCATGTTCTATATAGGTTGAGTGTAAATATCTATCCATCTTCGTTTCATTTATTACTTTAAATGGCAAGATAAACTCATGACAATCATTTATTTACGTAAAATTTTGGAATCTCTTGAGGCGGGGTCGTGAATGCTCACTGCTGAGGAGTCCTGAAATAAGACAAACCGGCCGTCCAGTGCCTCCAGGTTTCCGATTGTGGTCTAGCTTCAATTTGCTTATGACCTCAACCATTGAAAAGTGTTATGTTTGTAAAAATTTGCTTCAAAATGCTTGGACTAAATTGTTAAGCGAAACACTGAATTTTCAAAATCTGAATTCTGAGATTTTTGTAAACATAATAATAGTTGAGCAACCATTCATGGGTTGATGGAAGTTAGAGATTAAGATTGTTGGATACCGGCTCAGTGATCTGGAGGGTAATCATATTCGTGCGAGACTGAACGTCCTGGGTTTGAATCGCGGACCCACACTACTGAAGATTCACATACTAGTACGAAACGGCTGTCCAATGATCCCAGGTTTTCAATGGTAGTCTAGTATATATCGACTCATGAGTTTAACTATTCAAGTTACTACAATCTTTACAAATCACTTATCTAATCATAATTTATCACTAACTCGACACCCATATTTCAACGAAGGGTGTATCCCACTAAGAAAAACAACCTGTTTCGATCTGGACAACCGGGCAGTATCACAGCCCACTCACAAATCAAGTGACTTTTGTGGCGCATATTTATTCGGTGCCCACTTTTTACCAATATTTATTTGTTCAAATAAATAAGTAGACAAATAAATGATTAAACAAGAAGGTATTAGATCGTCATCAGGCTTTACTCTAATATACATGAATATTTATACGAAAATGTTAAACCAATCAAGGCAATATGGGTTAATAATCATAATGAAATAGAATAAGTCACCACACATACGAGGTAAGAAATACATGTTGATAGTAGGAAGGCTGGTGTACTGCTAGTAGTCGTATAAATAGTTAAACGTTGGAAATAGAACGTCAAACAAACGTGGATAAATAGACTTGGAATAGTCATCACGAGACATTAAAATCATTACGATGCTAGTATGCATGAGTTCGAAGTGAGACTAACTGCTTGGGGTGGAGAGCGACGAGAACTATTCTATCACCTGATTGGCTGACAAGCACGAGAGAGAAAGAGAGAGAGAGAGAAAGAAGACTAGTCAACTGGAACACTAATCGATTTATTCCCAATTCCGATCTGGATCACGATTCATAGATTAGTGTAAAAGATAGATGACTAACCTGACCACAACCTACAATAATTAGGAAACTACAATTATGTTGAAAACTGGAGATTAGAGTAGAAAGTAGTGTACAAAATATTATGTTTAAATTACAATAGCTTTGGAACCGAGGAGGCTATGGCATTGAATCATACATCGAACGAAAGCTTATGATGTGTAGAATAGACTAGTGATAAAAATAAATGTTACTATTTTACAAGATTTTAATGAAATGAAATAACGTGCCCAAAAATAGCTTCCATAGTTTCTCATAGCTTCTTGTTTCTCTATTCATATCAATAGATAATTCATGATTTACCTCATGAACAATTGTTCTTATGAACTTACTTAATTACTTACTTACGCATGTTTCTCTCAATGGAGCCGACCAGCATTCTCTAACTCACTCCCTCCTGAGCCTTCCTTCCCATGTTCTTATGAATTATGATACATATTCCACATAGATCATCTTCCTATACTCAAAATGTTATTTACAGTTAGTTTTAAGTAAATAATCCACTTAGTAATTTTGTACAGTCATTTATTTGGTTTACAATGATTCTTCTTTAAATACAGCCAATGGAGACGTTTTTCAAAGAACCTTTTATGACCTACTGTGATCATCGTTTAAATATTCCATTCGGTAAGTTCGCAAATATTTACAATAGTTGTATGTTAAAATACATGAGCCTTAACTCAGTCAGTCAATAAGTCACAAGGTAGAACTTCGTACGTACGTACATCAGTTCAAGTTGGTATACGACATTAGCACAGTGATACAATTGTGGATTCAAATCCCATAGTAATAGAGCTAGTAAATGTATAAGCAGTAATCGGAAAGATTAGAATTTGATGATGTTATTCAAGGAGTATAATTCAGTGAAATAAATTTGGAAAGAGAAGAAAAACGGGGACATGAATAATTCAGAAGATTAGAATTTGAGAGAACACAAAGTGTGGATGGACCTGAACCATGGCAAACGATTTTGAGCCATATCATTCAAGGTCTCTAACCATCGGTTGTTATCGTCTAGCGGATTCCCGGAACCAGGTAGTCTACACCTACTAACATGGTTCATTCCACTTGTCATTGACTTGTTGAACTTGTGCCATATTTTGGTCTGACCGACCCTAGCTTTCTTCCAACCTATTTCTACACCATAGAACATCGCCGGTCGTGGCAGTCGGTGGGTGGGCATACGTAACACACGTTCTAGGCATCTAGTTAAGTCTTAACTGTTTGTTATTAGTTTTCAAAACTATTCAGGTCATCCCAACAGATCTAATAAAATTCAAATCAATGTATGTCGTTCATGAAGTATATGTAAGCTAACAACAATATAATGGTTGATATAGGGAAAATGCTATATGATATTTTAACTGTACTTGTTATTATTGAGAACACAAGTGGGGATAATGGAATATATTTGAACCCAAAATTACAGTACATCTTAGTAAAATCTGAGGATCATACAGTACTTACTTCATTTGCAAAATGTCAATCAATTGTTTCAGAGTTGGTTGTTCCTTCTGCAAATATCAATCAAAGGTTTCATAATTCATTGTTCCTGCATTTCGATAGCAACTGCCTTGTTTGCCCGTTCTTTCCTCCTTGATCCTCTTGACTTTCTGCTGCCAGACATTATATTCTTGACTAGCGTTATATACTATTTATGTCGATATAAGTATCACATATTACATTACTTACTTACTTACGCCTTTTACTTCCAATGGAGCATAGGCCGCTGACCAGCATTCTCCAACCCACTCTGTCCTGGGCCTTCTTTTCTAGTTCCATCCAATTCTTGTTCATTTTTTCATGTCTATCTCCATTTCTCGGCGTAATGTGTTCTTTGGTCTTCCTCTTTTCCTTTGGCCTTGAGGATTCCATGTGAGGGCTTGTCTTGTGACGCAGTTGGGTGCTTTCCTCAATGTGTGCCCTATCCACTTCCAGCGCTTCTTCCTGATTTCTTCCTCCACTTCAATCTGGTTTGTTCTCTCCCACAGTACGTTGTTGCTAATAATGTCCGGCCAATGGATCCGAAGTATTTTGCGTAGACAATTGTTAATAAACACTTGTATCTTGTGGATGATGGCTTTCGTAGTTCTCCAGGTTTCTGCCCCATACAGTAGGACTGTCTTGACATTTGTATTGAAAATCCTGACCTTGGTGTTGGTTGACAGTTGCTTTGAGTTCCAGATGTTCCTCGGTTGTAAATATGCTGCTCTTGCTTTGCCGATCCGCGCCTTCACATCTGCATCAGATCCACCCTGTTCATCAATGATGCTGCCCAAATACGTAAAGGTTTTTACATCTTCCAAATCTTCTCCGTCAATTGTGATTGGATTGGTGCATTCTGTGTTGTATCGGAGAATCCTGCTTTTCCCTTTGTGTATATTGAGACCTACTGCTGCTGAGGCTATCACATATTACATACTTTAAACTAATATAAAAATATATAGTGAAAGAGAATACAGGCTGGGACAACAAAATGTAATTTAGTACAACAATTCAGAACATCTTATTAAAGTCTGAGAACCATACAATAAATGCTTTAATTGCACAATACCCAACAATTGTCTCAGACTTTGTTGTCCCTTCATTTCCATAACAATTACTCTCTGTGTCTTGTTCTGTTTTTTCTATTTCATCAACCTTTTGGTACCAGATATTCCACTTTCGATTGATGATACATAATATCTCTATCTGTTGATTTCAGTAGTACACACCACAACTGAAATATTTTCGTCTTCATAATTAAAACTGTTGGTTGAATTTAAGCGAATTACATAAGAAACGGTTATAAGTTAAATAAAGGCTGTATGAAGAATAAATAAAACGAAAGGGGACATTTTCAAAATCGATGAACTGAAATAGTTACGATAATAACAATGACATCAACAATAATAATAGTTTGTTGTCACGACAACGAAAAGTATAAGACATAATACTTTACCACTCAAGTTTGGGTTTAATATCAGGGATAGCTAGAGTTTCAGATGCCTTGGATATTTTTAGACAATAAAGTTTTGATACATTTGATTGGATCCTGCAAGACTTACTAGCATTTATTGGCTATGTCGTTTTTTATGAGATGAGGTAGTTAACCTACTCCCCACCCTCGCCTTTACCGAATCTTCAGGCTGCTAGTAACTCTATTGGCATTTTGAGTGGATTCTACGAACTGTGTGCGTCACTTGAATTATTGAATGTTCATGTTCTTTCTTGGTCTCTTCACAGTTATGTAAGGACAGTTTTAACAAACATATGCAGGAATATAATCATTGATAAAACATGAATACCTTCTTTACAATAAATGAATTTCAAAATTCATCTACATTTCAAAGTCTAAGGACTGTGATACCTAACGGGAATTTTTACGAAATTAATATCTGATGTTTTCGTTGGTTGATTTGGATCGAATTTACTAGTCTGGAACATGTATTACATGTCTCACAGTTCTAGTGAGAAGCAGTGATCAGTGGAGTTCAACCAGGTCTGTTATGAGGTAGAAACTCATTGAAGACAATGGTAGACGACGGCTCAATTTCGTGAATTAGTTGAAGTTAGTCAATAATACCGTTGGATGCCAACCAGCTTAATGGTCTAGAGGTTAAGATTTCATGCGCGAGACTGATAGGTCGTGGGTTGGAATCTCGTGATGTGGGATCGTGGATGCATACTGCTGAGAAGTCCGATACTTCCAGGTTTCCTATAGTGGTTTAGCTTCAGTTAACTCATGATCTTAACTATTAAAATTACCATATTATCTACAAAACTCTTTCTGATACATTACACTCAATTGAAATTGTTAATAATAATAATGATCATTTATTTTGTTTGTTTTGTGTTTATGTTAGCACAAAGAGGAAATATGTTTGGTCAAGCTTTTGGGAATAGATCGATATGCATTCCACATATGGGAGCTTGGAGAGCTGAAATGAATGGAAAATTAACACAAGATCCTCGAGTTAAAGCAACTTGTCATGATGTAATTTTAAAAAGAACTCTTATCTATAATTCCATAAAGATTCCACTAAAATCCAAATTAAATTTATGAATTACATTCTATGACTAAGATGAAATGATACACACTAATACAGTTTTAGAATCATCAGTAAGAAACGTATAGATTATAATGAAGTGGACAACCTCATTACTTACTTCACTCTTTGATTTGTTTTACAGTATAACCAATACATTCAGTCAGTCTTCATTAGCTGTTACCTCCTTGTAACAGTATCTATGTGTTAAAATTAATAGCAGATGGCTATCCATTAAAGTCTATTAATATGTGCAAAAGTTAGTTCATACCAAAACCTCTTATGTATTCAGTTCCAAAGAAGAAAATTTTATAACCATTTACCATATAGAGGTGAATCCATTACTATAGTGTTAAGACAGAGATTGAAAGCAGTCATCGAGAAAAACCTATTATACTGCTCAATTGGTTGTGATTGAAAAATTTTAGCTGATGATTCCAAATAGACTTAGGCAATGCACAAATGAATATGTCACATCCCATTTTATTTAACAAATTCACATGTTTGTGTAGAGGAGTAATCGAACGATGTAATCAAGGATCATTGAACATGTGCCTAGCTGACGAGTTCCAAATAGGACGAAACACGCGTCTTGGATTCCACTGCTAGCCACTATCTATCTTCACTTAAAGCGCTTGTGACTTAAAACAATATCATAGCAGTCTACACAGGATGCATATATGCCAATAAGAGATTGATGATCAATTGCAGACATTAACAACAATAGGAAGATACAAGTAAAACAACACCAAGTGATTTGTAATTAGATTATTCTCTCTCTCTCTCTCACACACACACACCTCATGTTGACCATATTTATTCTGATCATTATTTATCTCACAATTTCATTCCACTTATAAACTGATTCAAGTTAACAACTTCATATTAGTCACCCAAACAATCCTTAATTCACCTATTACCATTTTAAATGATGTACTCTTTCGTCAACCTGACCAATTTTATGGATAATTAATTAGGATATGAGATAATTGTGAAGTATCTGATGTGAAATTCATTGAAATGAATATTCTACTCATTCATATTAATTGTGTTTTGCATATGATGGGAATTTCTTCGGAGATTATGAAACTTTAATAATGATTATCTTCCTATCCCGTCTATTCATGATATTTATTGATTTGAACATGGTACAAGGAGGCACCAAATACATATGCGCCCCATGAATCTCATTTGATTTGTGTGAGGGACAGGATACTGCCCGGGTGCCCAAACCGAAACAAGTGCTTTTTTTATGGGTATACACCAGGAGCCTTCGACCTAAAGGTCTGATCCACAAGGCAGTGAAACATCGTAAGGAGATGCAGTTTCATGGTAGCCGGTGACCAACGTTTGGTTCCTACGCCATTTGTTCCCTCAGGATACTGGAGCCCATACGCAACATAGGTTTGAAACCAGGGTCTTCCAACTCCCCTAGGTGGACTCTCCATGTCCACTAACCCGGTTAAAGTGCCGGACATTCGGTTTTGTCCTCTCTCAACACCTACGCCACGAGAAGGCAGTGAGTAGGACTTTCCTGGCAGAGGCTATATACGCGTGGCCATGTGAGAGCATTTCGAGAGGGAGAGCGGACTGTCCTCACTCTCGGTCGTACCAGGGCATTCGGGGCATCTATTTATGAACATGGTTAGAATTACTAATTAGTTTTAAAAAAATTGATTAAAATTAACTGGATATCCACGGCGAACGTCTTCAACAGTAGCACTGTATTATTGATTTCATGTATGTGCTCATGATGACTAGATGCTAGATGACTTCAAAACCACTTAGTGTCAAGTGATCCGAATATCATTAAACGCACGGCCGTTTTTGTATTTTTTTCATCCTTTATGAAAAATGTTTCCATCCGATTTTCCAAGATTTTTCATTCTGTTTCATCCAATTAAATTCCTTATAATTCGTCATTTATTTCTTAAAATTGATATAAAATGTCAGTGTTTGTCGACAGAGCATATTTTCTTCAAATTATGGACCATAGTAAATTATGAAGTACAAGCTGGGAACTTGTGAAAGGACTTCCATGAACACTCAATGTCCGGCCTTTATTTTTGTAAGTTTATTGAAGGCTACTGGACTGTTGTTCGTGTTAAAGTTCATCACAATCACGAGTGCACTTCCTGGGGGTACGACAGTAATTCTTGGATGCACAGGTTAATGGGGAATGAATTTGAAACAGTTGGGACAGCAGCATTCAATATTATGCATTTCGTTTACCAATCTTATGGAAAGCGTCCGGTCAAATGCTTTTCGACCTGCAGCGACCCTCCTGAAACAAAGTAATACAAACTTTGTTGAAACATCTCTTTGAATTCTGAGGCTGTATACGCTGAATAGAAAAACACCCGTATTGAGATCTATATTTAGTATACTTCTTCGCATTGGATGCTGGATGAAAGCGCAAGTCCAGAAATACTCATGTGATTGTCGTAACAAAATGATTATCGGTTGGGAGACACAAATACGTCGTCTTCAGGAGAGACTTACACCAGCTGCATATCAACTACTGGTGGACTTGTTCAGGGCTGTTGACGCTACAGACCTAAACAATGCACAAATGATTACGTCACATCCCAATGCATTTACATTTTACATATTTGTGTGGACGTCTACATAGGGGGAGTATTCGAACAATGCAATCATTCAACATGTGCCTAGATGGCTTCAAAACCAATTATTGTCAAATTATCCAATCAACGTGAGAGGTAGAAAGCCATGTTCATCGATAGTGAAACATATAATTGAAACGGGACACAAAATTGACAATAATACAGCTTTTAAAACGTTGTATAGAAATTGTCAAGGACGAAATCTGAAGTTTGTTGAAGTCTTGGCTATTCGTAAATTTACCCTCCCCCATATGTTTACAAACACAATTTGTCGTAACCATGAATTTACCGTGGTAATCCTTAAGTCATTCTATTACCTATGTACGACCAGATTGTTCAAAATATACAGCGCAAATAAGTCACATTTTCATCAGATCAATTCCGTCTTCTTATTGTTTCTATCAAAATTTATAAAATGAACTAATTACTATAAAAATGGACATTAGTCACATTACATCACCATATTATAAAATTGATTATTAACTAGTTGACCAGGGTAAAAGGAGCAGTTGAACACATTTTTTTGGATACAAAGTTCCGGCTTTTTGATTCGAATAGCCATTACTTCAGCCTTATGCAAGATTCTCAATGTGACGGAATTAGGTAGACTGCTGTTAACACAATATATGATAGTGAATGATTGCTTCATGTTGGCTGTATGTCCTGTTTGAATGAAATGAGCTAAAATGAAGCTGTTAACTGTTTTAACTACACCTTGGCTTAACCACACTGGAATGTGTTCACGAGATCGAATATACAAATTCCTAGAACATCTGTCAACATAACTTACTCCACAGGAGCAGTTGAATTGATAGATACAGAAAGAAGTGGTTAGCCTGGGCAATTTATCTTTCAATCTCGGAGTGATTATTGAGCATATGGAAAACACTAGTTGTAGTTTGCCTGTATTAAAAAGTTCTCTGAATTGATCTAACCAAGCATTTCTTGAATAGGAGTTTTATATTGTTTTGGTAATCTGAGATTAAGTATCAAAACGATATAATATAAATTCTTCTGTTATGTAGATTCTCTTCAAATCCTTACAATCTAGAAATTAGTGATGGTGGTTATAAGTAATAGTCACTGTTTCACTAAACAATTCATTAGTTATATAGACATTAACATGAATGCTGGATACATTCGTTCTCATCAGAATAGCTTCAAATCTAAAATGATTAGATGCATTGAATTCTTGACTCTATAAGTCGTTCGATTTGAGTCATGTCAAAGATCGATACTGAACAAGCATATAGACAGATCAAGTGGATTATAGAATATTACTTACTTATTTACTTAATTATTTACGCCTGTTACTCCCAATGGAGCATAAGCCGTTGACTTCGTCCTCTCGATCGTATATATATATATATATATACAATAGAGTGAACAGTCTACATTACTCAGCATTATTCTTAATGGATTAAACTTGGTAAACTTCCATCGAATTATATTCATATGATAATCTGCTTTCTGCAAAATTGATTTTGATATTTTTCAGTACAAATGTTCACGTACTGTCCAAATCGTCGTTGATGGTGAAACGTTTCCATGTATTTCTGGTATAGCCAAAATAAAAACTGGGCGAATTGACGGAAATGCGATCTGCCCTGATATGAATGATGTTTGCAGAGTAAGCATAGTATATGTTGTAAATAATTATACTAGTGATATATTATCCCATTTTCTGGCATCTCGTCCCTCTCTCTCTCCATATATATATTCAAATCATTCACTATGTTCACTAGTCTTAACGATCGTGTTATTTGTGCGGTTAGATTTTCAAACTGACATCTAAGTGTCTCTATCTAACGAGTTAGAAATTGGGTGAAACGCGTGTTTGGTATTCCGCTAGTAGATAAAATATGTCATTATAAAATCTTATCTATAGTAGAGAGTTGTGGAGATTGTTGAATTTCATTGAAATCATGAAACAATCAATGTTGAATTTACATGTTAAAACCATCGGATTAGAACTCAGGGGTCTAGAGGTCAAGTATTCTTCAGTAACCGAAGTTCTTATGTTCCGAGTGCCTTGTGCGAGATTTTGAACGTGCACTGATCAGTAGTTACATGCTAGCACGAAATAGCAGTCCACTTTTCTCAACATTTCAATGGTAATCAAACGTTGATTCGTCGATAGGTTCAATGGATAGAACTTTCTGACAGAATAATAATATTGAGACGATTTGTACAGAATGCAGATAAAGTAACAAGATTAAATGATGGTCAATTTCTGTGGACTGTTAATGGACTAATATTGCATATATATATTCTTATTGCATAACTATTCAGTAACTAGATTATGTATATCTATATTCCCCTTATTATAAGCCTCATTTTGACCTATAGATTATTATGATACAATTTATAGTTCTTCAGTTATGTTCAGTTTA